CATATATTTAACTTAGTGCACACCAGCTCCACGCTATTGATCAACACAACAAACTGCAGACAGTCACACCACCGGAAAGCCGAATGCAAACAAGCCGGCAACACGAGCACAAAAGGCAATTATTTTCTTGTCAAAACTATTTTGTAATGCGAGAGGGGGAAATCCACGTGCTAAGCTGTGAGTGTACAGTATGAAGAAGTAGTGTGAGGATTGGAGCGGACAGCGTGGACAGTGGGTCTGACGTTTAGCTGATGCGGGTGTTTGTGGAAACAACAAAGCTCATGTCTGGGTGTTTGATTGAATTGTGAGGATGTGACCAGGATGTGCCAGCGGTTGTATCTCCGTCTGTCGGCTGAAGCATCAGCTGGAGTGTCTCACCAGCTAGTGAACGGACGAAGAGCAAACTTTCTACAGACATTCATGGTTACCTTGGTGATCCCAATTCTTCTAATGGTGATGTAACACAAAAAGGAAGTGTACCACACAAGGCCCATGTGAGGTCCAGTGTTCTGAGTCTTATTATATAAACCGGTTTGGTTCCTGAGCCCTCGTATCCTCGTGCACATGTGAACATCTGCCACTCGGGCTCAGGTGGCAGATGTGCGACTCAACAGACGAGCTGCTCGTGCAGGTTCTGACACAGGAAGGTGTCGCTGTGACAGAGCGTTACAGGAGGAGCAGAGTGTGTGTCGGAGGAAGACGGAGCGCCCACGCATGTGTGAGCCTTCATTTCGGAGGTGATCAGCATCACACACCACAAACCAGCAGATTGATCACAGCAGTGCCCGAGCCTGGGTGCAGGTTGGCGAGGAAGAGGAGGAGGAGGAGGAGGAGGAGGAGGAGGAGGTGTGGTGGGTGCTGAGTGGGGCAGGGAGCCAATAAAATATCACATCTGCATTAAAATGCCATCTCTAGGGTCCCAGCACAGGGGGCTGCTATTTCAGGGATGCCTATTTAAAGGCTGTTGAAGTGCGGGCTCTCGATGCTGGAATGGCACCGCGCACCATCTCCATTATTTATGGGCCTCATCTCTATTTTACTGGTTTACCGAGGTGGGGGTGGGGGTGGGTGCGGCAGTCATCGCCGCTGCTTGAACAACATGTGCTTAATGATGTCACAGGCTTGAGAGGACTGGCGGGGGGTGGGGTGAGGGGCAGCGATTGAAGAGCCTGAGCAAATGCTGGAAAACGTACGATGGAGGGTTGGGGGGCGGCTGGAGGCAACGGGAGGGGAGGGCCGTGACATTATAACATGGGGCTCACTGAAGCTTTACGCCGAAGCTGCAGGTCTGAGCGCTGCTGCAGGATGTCTGTCCCTCCACCGGCATCATTACCTCTGTCATATCCATGAATCATCCACAGCGCAGGGAAAAAACATCCACATGTGACCACAGGTCTGTAGAAAAACAGGGAAACGTCTCATGTGTTTGGCTGATGTGATGACAGCAGTAGGAGTTGTCACACATAATAGCACCGTTTGGCTTTTAATCACCGTGTTAATTATTGTCTGTTGAGTGTTTGTGTGAGTGTGTTTCACAGAGTAATAAAGAAATGGGTCATTACTTGGGGCCATTAGGCGAAAAAGCAATTCACCAAGGGGTCATTCAAATAATCACCTTTTAATCTACATTTCTTCATTAGATGGATGTGAGTCGCTCTCATGAAAACGCCTCCAGTAGCTTAAATATTCTGCCGTCCACGAGCCGCGGCGTGGAGCTGACGGACGGGAGATTCATCGGTATCGACGCCCTTTAGCTCGTCATCGGTCCGCAAATCCGATAATCAGCAAAGAATCCAGCAGATGAAACTTGAAGCAGTTCTTCATGCTGATTTCTGACCGCCTCCTTTTGGAGCTACGATTCGTGAACACGCAGCAGGACAGCGAGCGCCACTCACTTCTGACGAGGCCTGATTTGCAGCTTAGCTACACTCATGTTACTCCTTCAGTCGTTCTTCCTTTGTGGCCGTCTGCAAGAAACCGTCAGACATACGTTGGAGAAGCGCTGTCCTCCCGGTACGCTGGTGTATGGATTTCCTTGTAGCATGCGCCCCAACCATTCTCTCCCTTATTGCAGTAATTAGACCTGCTCCATTTAAGCCAGCAGCGTCCTGCTGCTGGTGGACAGTCTTTAATCATGTGTGAGTGTCTGTCAACACTTAGCAGAGGAAGAGTGAGAAACAATGGTGGAGCAGGTCTGTTGGGTCGAGCGTCTCCGTGCCTCGTGCTCGTCCGTCTTTTTTCCTAGCAGGAGATCAATACGGCGTTTCTGTTGAAGCAGCTCTTTCCATTTATTTATATATCTGTTTTATACCTGAATTAAAGTGACTGACTCTGCAAACCTCCAACAATGAAGCCACGTTCAGAATGCACATCACATTAACACGTCTCTCTGTTGTGTGCGTTTATCTTCGCCTGTAAACCCATTGTGATTTTTGCAATTGTGTCTGATTTTTAGCGAGGGTTTGGCGGCGGTGTGGGCCTCTTGGAGAAGCCATGTTTTATGCATGAGGGCCAAGGGTGGGGCCCGTTAGGGGGCTGTGTCAGTGGACACACACAACAGCCAGATCAGCGGACACCATGACTACTTGGCAGAGATGCACAAGAAAGCTCCTATAGGCGCTGCTCCACCTTTGTTCTTCAGCATTCAAGTGCAATTTTGTTTCTTTCTGCGTGTCCCCAGTGTCCCCAGTGTTCCCAGTGTTCCCAGTGTTCCCAGTGCACACGGACAGTACATGCAGCATGGATGTGTCTTAATTTGAGAGTCCTCCCTGTTTGTTCCTCCTCGTTTTCTGCACGTTGTGTTTTGGAAGAGTTTCTGGCTGCGTCCCTACAACTACATTTCGTCATCAGCTGTGGCAGCACCTTCAGGGCTTCGGATCAGCGCTGCGCTCTGCCGGTCCGTGCCAGAGGCGCTGCAGCCGGCCCACATGGAAAGTACTGCTGACTGCTTTTGTCAATACTCGTCTAGAAATGAAGTGAGATCCCATAAAAGCGTTCTTATGGGCCAATACTGATATGAAATATAAAATGATAACTTCAGACGAGTTTGCGGTGATTTCCGTCGTTTTATAGGCGCCGTAAAAGGAAGAGCACGAACGGAAACGAATCGGTGCTACTGCAGCAGTTTGGTGGTAAAATATGACTGGTTTTCTCGGTGACGTTTAAGCCGTCTATGATTCACGGTGAAGTTGGCCTAAAATATTTTATGGGCAGAAGGTTGTGAGTCCCAGGTGGAAAAACTCGCAGTTGGGCCCCTGAGATAGGCACTTAGGCTGAATTACCCCAGTAAAGTGTACAGCTGTTTAAGTGTGGCCTTGCAGCAGAGAGGCAAAATAAAAAATATGAGCCGGAGAAATCTGTCAGGCTGAGAACTGTCAGATCTTATCTGGAGACAAAATATTACGCGCCGCGGCGAGCTATCTCGTCTTACAGAGAACTCAAGGCTTACGAGTGGCTTAAGAGTGAGCTGTCACTGCAGGAAGAATACTAAATTAGCATGGTTTAATTTTCATTAGAGCTCCATACAGCCATTCAGAGATCTAAGGTCAAGTCATGTTGGAGAATGCCGATTCTCATTAAGCTCTGAAATGGAATAATCACAGCGTCAGACACACTGCAGCGCTGCAGCAACGCTCGGATAAAGCACTGCCACTCCGCAGGATGAATCTGAGCCACTGTTTCTCCTTCTGGGCTCTCAACGTTTTGGTTTTATTTAAAGACACATATTTTAAACCACGTGTCTAATCCAGCGCTGCACAGTGGAACCAAATGAACAACATGTCAGCAGACTCAATATAGAAACAGCAGACAAGCCGGTAAACAGTCAGCTCACGACTCAGAGCAAAACAAAGACGACTGGGAAACATTTGGAGAGCGCAACGACAAACAGACAGCAGCCGTGAGCAAACCGTGGAGGCAGCGCTGTCGTTGTTTAGGTAATGAATGAATGGAGTCGGAGGTGATGAAATAATAAGACGTCCGTCCCTCTTGTTATGCTAACAGTGTTCAGATAAGTCCTCATTCGTCCACTTTAATTACGGTTGACATTTAAATGAGGGCACTTCCTTACCAAGGTGGAAGAACTGTGGGAGAAGAAGAGGGCCTCCCTCTAATTGAGTTTGTCGCTGGCTCCACCTTCGATGCCGCCTTTGTTCTGCAGGGACCGTATATGTGGAGTGCAGCTGAATGAGGTTCTTCTGCTCCGGGTATTGATACCGGTTCTTGCTCTACGTTGTGTCTGTCAGTGTTAGCATGCACTTTGAAAAACACACCTGACCTACATGTTAAATGGTAACGTATGTCAGGAAGTCCACATGGATGCCTCATATTGTACACGTCTGCAGCTGATGGCGGCGGTACCGTACGTGGGACGGCTCGCTCTCTGGAGCAAAAGGCCCGATTCAAAGGGTCCGTCTGTCTGAACTGCTTTAGTGGCACACGGGCCGTGTGCTCTTAGAACTTGGATGTGTTTCTTCTTGGTGACATTTGGAGTGATGTTTGGTTTTTAGGTCTTTTCTGGAACAACATGTGCTGCTCAGATGCTCCTTATAAAGAGAACCTGTTCAGCATGTACAGGTGGTGAGGAGCACACTTTGCATCTCTCAGCTGGCTTCTGTGATAAAGCAGAAAGAACGGTTTTAAAACATGCAGCTTTCTGTCTGCATCAACACGTGTGGGGTTTTTGTGAAAAATTGCAGTTTCATGCGAGTTTATTTGGATCAAAGCAGCACAGTGAAACAGAGCTTCATGCTTTGGTGATGCTGTGATGCTTACAAATCTCCTCGTGCAGCTTCCTGTACGTACGCTTGCTTCGAGCATCTTGCAGAATTCGGGCCGCCTCGGTTGCTGCTGCCTCTCCGTGTAATCCCCGCCTGACTCTGAGATGTTGCGATCTGTGGGGCCACGCCATCTGTTGCAGGACTCCTCGTTCTTTCCAGCCGGGCTCGTTGCCGTGAAGCTGCTCTGTGATGTTATGACCTAATATCTCTCTCCCTCTGCAGCCATGGCAGACTTCCACGTCCAGCCAGAGTCGGTGCACGCTGAGGAGGCTGGTGTGGCCCGATTCCAGTGCCAGATCCACGGCCTGCCAGAACCCGTCATCAGCTGGGAGAAAGACAGCCGTCCGGTGGACACCAAGGACGAGAGGTTGGACTGCAGCATGACCCCCACCTCTCCAGAAAAAGCTGTGTTTTCTTTTTGTTTTAAAGCTTAACTCTCTTTTTCTTTCTGTCTCTTCGTAGGTACACTCTCCTGCCTACAGGTGTTCTGCAGATCACAGGCGTGCGTGAGGAGGACAGCGGAAAGTTCTGCTGCGTGGCTCATAACAGTGCAGGAGTGAAACACAGTGCCGAGGCGCTCCTCACTGTTTCAGGTGAGTTTCACATCTTCATGCTTTCAGCTTTTTTTTCTTTTTTTTTGTCATATTGAGGCGAGGACTGTGATTCTCACTGCTGCTTAACTTTAAATCTGCGCTCTCCGTTCAGATCTTTTGTTCTCGCTATCACTGCTCCAGTACAATCGCTGTGTTCGACTCTGTTTCCGAACCTTTTGTGCCTCTGCCTGATCTGAGAGATACACCATATTGAGCAAATGCACTCCAGAGAAATCCAATTAAAGGATGCCATCCATCATGCTCATTCCCATCTTCAAATTCCCCTTTTCCCGTCTTCTCTCAGGCTCCCAGTCATCTGTTTACAAAGAACCCATGATCCTGGTCGGTCCGGAAAACCTGACTCTCACCGTTCACCAAACGGCCATCTTGGAGTGCGTTGCTACGGGATACCCGCGGCCCATCGTGTCCTGGAGCAGGCTAGGTGAGAAAAAGCTCCTGGTCAGATCAAAGAAAAGGCCCCAGAAGCTGCATGTACTTTGAATTTTTTATGTTGCGCATGTGTGTGAGTGCGTTTGATGAATTATGTGTCACTGAGCCGAGCTAGAATCACGCCGTGCATTAGTGCACGTGCAGCCTGTGCGCTGTGTGTGAGTCCTGGGAGGCTGCTGCTGTGCTTCCAGCTCATGTTTGATCCTGCACGTGTGTGCAGAATATATTTGATACAGTACATACATTGTGTATACATGAGGCGATGGGATTAAACATTAGGTCTTAGGGCTGAACATTACGTCCCACCATGTGTTGATAAATGCACGCTTCATCTGCTCATAAAGTTGAAGCTCCTCGAAGCACCGGAGAGCCTCTGAGTAATTGCTATGAGGTGCTGAGACAGATACGATTAGTTTTTCTCCTCCCTCCATGTGCATTTTTTTCTTGACTATCACTCAAAGTCCGTCGTGACCAATTTTTCAATCTCGTATCTGTTTTCTTTACCTATTATCCAATCTGATTTGCTGTTCCAAATGTAAATTGCGGCCCCTCCCAAGCAGCCAGCCGTAATCAGATTGAGGGTATTGCCTTACACAGTGTTGCCAGAATGAAATGGTAACACGATGGGATTTGTATGTATTAGATTACGGCAGGGAGGCTGGGATAAGCTGCATAATGAATCTGATAGTTTCACATCAGTCACTCCTTAATGCCAGAGTTAGTTTGCTGCTATTCATTGAATAGCACCACAGCCTGCTAGCTTGTGCTCTTTCTTTTCTGACACTAAGTTAATTAGAGGCTGACAGAGAGAAACTGATGGAGGGGGCAAGAGAGAGGGAGAGAGAAAGGAATATTGTGGAAGGAGGCGAGAAAAGAACAAGACGGCTTCTGTTGGAACAAAAGCCCGGCGGACTGTTAGGGAGGCAGGGACAACGGGGAAATGCAGAAATAGCAATAAAACACATCATAATGGCAGCTGCACAACAAAACCACTTGACAGGCAAGTTGGAGTTGGTTATTTGATCTCAGTAAGTTGTCATGATTGATTGTGTCCATTGTCTTCATGCGACTGTTTCCTTCCAGGACTGTGGAGCTCCAGTGCATCGGCTGCTAGAGAAGATTTCAACTCACTCAAAGATTTTTCTGAACACTTGTAATAAATTTAACGTCTAATCTGAGCTGCAGTCGTCAAACAAGCAGGTTTATAAAATTTATTTGGTGAGAAAAGTCTAAAAGGGACGTCGTTGGATGTGATCATCCCTCCACGGCAGCTTTATGCTGTTTGATTGCATGATTATATTCTCATAGTTTATTTGACAGGTTCAGCCTTTTGTCATTAATGAATGTATTTCTATATTTTTTAGTTTAATCTTGTGCATAATGAGTCTTTTTCATACGTTTTTTTTTACAAGAAACATTTGATTACAAACGACTAAAGCTTGCTTTAAAGAAGTGAAGGTGCCCCTGAACATCCACTGCTGCCCCTATGGATCTATCTGTGGCTGCAGCTCTGCCTCCACATGTGTCCAGGATGCTGCCCGTCTCCCCGGCCTTTTAACACATCAAATCTGGACCGTACAGGCTTACAGGCTGCAGATGGAAGTCATAGATGGGATTAAAATGCCCCCTTGGCCCCACAGCTAATATCTGAGGCGGACTGAAGTTATTGTTGGGGCTGATACTGCAGATAGAGAGAGCAGGAAAGTGTGAGCTTATCATGTAAGTACAGAAAGAGGAGAGAGGAGTCAGCTATGGATTGTGTCAGGAGATAGGAGATTAGAAGTTGCAGTTAGAGTCTGTGGTCCCAGAGTGGCGGCTGAAACATCTCCGCGGTTTAAAGAGCAAACCCTGTTTTAGAGACAATGTGCTGCAGAGCTTTGCCACACGGAGGCATGAAGAACAGGAGCCGGAGTATGAAAGTTTGAATTGACTGAAGATCGCTGAAGGAGAAGCTGCACTCACAATGAAAAGCTACTGGTTCACTGTAGAACCTGATGACTCTTTATAAAGAGATCCAGACCGCCGAGGCTCGGCACTGACAGCCATCGCAAGCTCCCAATTAAGTCGAAAACATTGCGGCATGTGTACGGCTCAGACGGCAAACACGAGGTGGCAGCTTCATCACTCTGAGGATCACACACTGTGAAAGCTGCAACCTTGAGGGACAGAAATAGCACCGCCTCCGTCAGCTCGTGGCTGTAAACTAGCATTAAGTTTAATTAGTTTTCCTTGCTTGTGATTTGAGCTCGCTCTGATCCTCACCGTAGCACACACACCTGAAGCTCACTGTCCATGCACACCTGGTCCTGGTTTTTTTCCTGCCCTATATAAATTCTTTCCCATCCTTCTCAACTGCTCTCCTTTTCCCTTTTTTCCCTGATTAGATGGTCGTCCCATCGGGGTGGAGGGAATTCAGGTCCTCGGCACGGGGAACCTGATGATCTCCGACGTTGGCGTGCAGCACTCAGGGGTCTACGTGTGCGCTGCCAACAAGCCGGGGACTCGTGTCCGCAGGACGGCTCAAGGACGTCTGGTGGTCCAAGGTGAGCTCCACATGAAAGGAATGGGCCAGCTTTTGAAAGAAGCAGCAAAAAACATGTCTTAGAAACAGCTTTGGTGAGCTGATAAGGTAGAGCTCAGAGATCTGTGAGAACCGAACAGGAAGCAGGATTCCATGACCGGAGGCACTTCCCCTCGAGCTCCACCAGCAGCCGCCGTCATGAACAAGTGTTTTACCTTCGTGCCACCAGTGTTCTCTACGTAGCTGTTTTAATTTAAATTCTGAACTCCTACAGAAGCACATCCCCTGTTAGCCTGATTGATTCTACCTGCTGGTTGTTTCTAGCTCAGGGTGAACGTCCACGGAGATGAACTCCTCTATTCATCCACCAGGACCACCAAACGCTGCTCAGTGTTTCACTAAAGAGATGCACTTCTGTGGTGAAGCAGCAGCACTGTGAGCCCCACGCCGCTGAGCACAAACGATTCCAGCTCGCCGATCACAGTTTTATGATTTTAATCCTCAGGAATGGCACTCAGGCAGAGATGAAGATATAAATGGCCAGTTAATTTGATGGCATCATCCCCCAAGACATGAATATCGGTGAGCAATAGCACAGAGCAGAACCACGATGTGACGTCCACTGAATCGTATTAAGACGCTGCAATTTCTGTAAAGTCAACTTTTGTTGTCAGTAAACCGTATTTAGGAGCTTTTAGCGGCGCTGGTCCCTGAGCGAGGCCACGCCGTCGTGTTACGTCTGTGAAGGCACACGTGATTACATCTCAGGCCAAATAGCCTCTCTGAGATAGGGGGAGCACAGATTGATTTTCATTTGCAGGAACTGAACACAGTGTCCGTGCAGAAACTGGATGATGATGAGAGATGGGACCGACAAGGTTCTGAGCCCAGGCTGGATTGAAATACAGAGTGGATCCGGATAAGGAGACGTCTGTAAATGTAACCTTCAAATGTGAATCAGAAGACGAGATATGAATTTAGAAGCGGTCGCCTCCTCTGGTTGGTGCTGTTTAAGAGGCTCGACGTTGATTTATTGTGTTTTTGTGTTGGCACTTGGAGCCCAGGGGATGTTCTGACCTCAGCAGAAACCTCCCGTCGTGTCTTCTTCTGCAGCAGAACAAGTATTTTTATCAGCCTCCTCAGTGTGGAAGTTATGATGCAGGTTTGATTTGTAGATCACTTTAGAGCTGCTTCACAGGCCAAGAACACACCAGCAATAGAATCAATAAATGTAAATGTGGTGCAAGTGTTAAGTCCACAGCGGGGCTGGCACGTCTAGGAGCAAACTTTTCTTCAAAGACCAGCAACTGTTCTTGTGGTCAAGCCTGAGTCGCTCTGAGAGTGTAAAGGTGTTAAAGAAAAGGTGTAGCATCGCTCAGTGTTCAATAGTCTGTGAAGCTAACAGCAAACACTGTAAAATGATGACGATTGTAGACGAG